ATAGTGCAGCACTATACACATAACTGCAACAAATCAATAGGGAGAATGTGGGCTATTTGGATCATAAACAATACCTTTATTCCATATCAGAAGAGATATTCAAATGTAATCAATCATTGTCATACAGCATCGCTATCGATTTTTTTATATTTGAAAACAATTCAAAGAAACAATTCATAAAATGATATTCGAATAGATTCAATGTACTAAAAAATAATCAATGGAATTCGTTTGAATTTTGGTGCTATGAAGCAATGAAATGCATAAGATTTTTCTAAAATCAATTGAAAGTGTGTGAAAAAAGAAATGTTCATTATTTTGCAGATAGTGACCTGCCTTCGAGTAACAGTTGAGCAGATTTGACTCGTGCCCGCATTATATTCATTGTCATCGCATGCGTATGTTTTCGAACTTTTTGCTCCTCACGTCGAGCTTCTTCTCGCATCCGTTTACCCACCGTGGTGCTGTTTTTAATTATAAAATTCAATAAGTTAATCCTACTGAGAATTCGAAGGTGTAAAATATGCAACTAGGTCGATGATACTCACTCTTCCGAGGTAAAAGTTTTCCATGCTGGTGTGTCGCGCACATTCCAATGATGACATTTTGGTATGAATTTCGATACATCCATGCTCTCTTTTAATTTTTCTTCAGCAAATTCGTTAATTTTTTTACGTGAATTCTTGTGACGCAGGCTCGCTGCCAAATTGCAACGAACAAGTTTCGACGATAGAAATTCGTCCATTGAGTTTGATGTTTTCGATTTTGGCTTGGACTTAATTTTGCCGTCCGATTTTGCGTAGGCATTTTGCTGTCGAGATATTATCGTTGGTGAAGCATTCGATTCGTTGGAATACCATGGTGTATATTCTTGAGAGTAATCCATTTCAACGCATTCATTTTGCCTTTTTCCATTGTCCATGGACGATGGACTGAACCAATCATTTGGACATGACTTCGCACGACGCACTTTTTTCTTTGCTGTTAACAGCTTTTCTTCACAAGTTGGTGTTTTGCAAACGGATTTGAATTCGCTCGCAAATCCTATCATTTGTTTCGGTGGACTGTGTATGTAATTTGGATTTTGTGTTGGTGAGTGAACTTCTTGGATGTGAATGATTGGCTGCGCATTGTGAAAATGATCACATGGATATGGATCAAAATCGTGGAAATGCAATTCCTTATGGAGGTATCTTGGTTGCACTTCATGTGGTTTGCGGAAGTAAAGATTCGGTGAACACATCGGTGATAACATTGTTGGCGTTGGGAGTTTTGATTCATAATTCCAATCATCGTCTCCAGCTAATAATCTCTCTCGAAGGGTCTGCAAGCGTTTTATGTGCGGTGGTGTTGACATGTTCAGTGAATTTGCACTTGGTATTCGGTCAACAGGACTTTTTTTTTTGCTACCACTCTCTAGCTCATTTAATTCGAGTAAACTCGCCTTGCTGAAACTCTGTAATTAAAATGCTGTTCAATTTTTGATGTTTGACAAGACAATGAAAGTGAAACAAAAACGAAAGAAGCAAAAGAACGAGGACAGAATAAAGACGTCTGTCCTAACAAAAGAGAGTTATGTTCAGAAAGTAGAAAAGACCAACAAATCAAAAAACCGACTAACATTGCACAAGCTTGGAGTTAAATTGCTCTTTCGATTGGCCGAACATTTCTTCTTCTTGGCGCTAGTTTTTCGTTTGCTGCAACGAGACGTGGACTGTGAAACGGGCCTCTTACAAACTGGCCTACACAAAAGAGTCTCGCTCAAGTCACAATGAATTTTCTTCAATAAATCAACACGTTCCGAGAAATCATACTCCGGCAAATGACGAATTTCATCGTATTCTAAATATAAATTTCAAAATTAATTCTAATTCGTTTCTTTAGAACCCAATGTTGATGTATTACTTGGAATGCTTTGATAGAAGTTAATCATTGAAAATGTATTCTGTGAATTCTTCTTTGACTTTTGCTTTACTTTGACATGCCTTTCCTTTTCCACTTCTTGACCAACTTTGATTCCATTCAGAAGTTTTAGTGTTTCACACAATCTTTTATTTTTCTTGTTTGCCTTATTCATCGTTTGCGACAAAGGGAAAAAACAATTTTCCAGATAAAAAACAAAACAAGACAAAACACTTTCTGATTCATAACAAAAATACACTACTAGCCCATTTAGCAAGGCACATAAAATATACTGTTTATTTATCGAAGCTATGGCAACCGCAGTCAATGAGTTTCACACAGTTATTGGGTCGATATTTTCCCCGCGAACTTATTACTGCGCTGGAAATCTATAAAAATAATCGCAAAAAAACTTACCTTTGACCATCGTTTTTTCCCTGTTCTCAAAATACAAATAAAACAACGGATTTTTTGTGTAAATTCTTAATATGACCAGTGTTGAATGCATTTATGACACTACGATGTGTATCGAGTATCACAATTCAGCATATGTTATTCATCTCATTTATTTTTATTCTTTTTTGATCTTCATGTATTTTCTTTTCTCTTTTTTTTGCAGTGCTGTTTCACTGTTCATTTCATGTGGCAATTAATAGTCAACGTTGATTTCTTTTTTTTTCACTTTCATTCTCTTTGTCATATTTTCAATATTTTCCTTGTTAATAGTCTTCAGCTAGATGTTTGTTTTTTGCTATTTTTTTGTTGTTGCAATTTTTATGAATTTTTCTGATTCTTTTTTCTTTTCTTCTCCACTTCTGTTAAACTTGATTCATATTGCAAATGGACTTAAATTTAACAAATTACATTTCTTATTTCGTAAATTATTTACAATAAGTAATCGTTTTTGTTTTTCGCTTATGCATCGTTAAATCTGTTGTTGTTGTTTTTTACTTAAAAATTCTAATACAAGAAGAAAACGAATTGAATAAATTCTCATTACATTTTTGCTGTTTTTTCAATGAATTGTTTTCTGTTAGTCTCGACTCTTCGCACACGTCATCCATTGTAACATTGGCGAAGAGTCGCTTTCGGGGAGCAAAGTATTTGTAATGGCTAGAGCAAGAGAAAAACGAATCATCTGCTATGTTAATTTTAAAGACACAAATAGTTTTTTTTTCCTGGTTAATATATGGAACAATATGCGTGGGTGGGGGTGGATAAAAACCAACGGGAAGCCAAACGAAAAATAAGAAACAATATATTCAAACGACGTTTTGCTTGATATTCCAAATTCTCGTTCATGTTTTTGCCGGGCATGTACAACTAACGCTCAAAAATATACTTAAACATACAAAAAAAAACATTTTCCTTGCAGTTGTTGTGATTTTAAAAATTTGTTTTTCGCTTGCGCACGTTTACTAGAAAAGTGTGTATAAAAACACCAAAAAATTTACGATTTTTTTTCTCTTCTTCTCTCTGTTTTATATAACCACTTAGTTAGTTAATGCTCAAATTCATTTGGCAACAAAATTGTTTAAATTTTTAACCGAACTGAATATGATTTTGAAATTAATCATTGGTCCGATCGTCCAATCGATTCAATTGTTTCTCTCATGTTTACATTCAATTAAATTTAATGCTCTCTTAAGGAAAAATAGATGTTTTTCATAAGAAAAAATATGTTCGTTTCGGTTTTTGTTTTTAATAAAATAATGCATAAAATTGTGTTGATAATAAAATTAAAAACTATCAAAAAGAAAAAAAAAATGAAAAAAAAAAAAACAAATTCTATATCCAAAATTGATTTCAGAGAAGAAGGTGTGAAGCTTAGGTTATTTGCTTTCGATGGCAACTCTATCGTCATCCAAATATTTCAACAATTCAATCCGTTTAGCCCCCTCCCTAGTAATCAATGGATCGCACACAATAACATTGCTTCATTTGCTGATGCTCTAAATTTTATAAATCTATCCTGGAGCAGTGATGTTGTTGGATGGGTTGGTTCACCGCGCACTTTTTTTTGCCTACGTATCCCTTCTCTTTTTCTATTCCATTTCGGTTCACAACACATTTACAATTTCACTGTTTTGTAGTCACTTAACTAGCATTTATAAATGTTTTGTTTTTCTTTCCTAAATAACTAAATTGATTTCCCTTGTGTTGTTGATGTTCTCGTTTTTTTTCTTTCAAAATCAAAATCGTGTAAAATTGTAAAAGCGCTGAACTTATTTAAATATATTTGAATTTCTCAATAGATTTATTATCGTTTAGTGTGTGTGTTGTGTTTGTTTCTCTGTTGGGTAGAAACATTCGACTTCTTATTATTCTTTCAGATTATATTGTAATAGTTGAGTTTAGCAATCGACGTTTAACGGCGCCACGAACGATCTTCGGCTTCCTCATCGTCTTCCTCATCCTCCAAACGAATTTCGGACGTCATATTGTCATCGGTAACGCTCTCTTCCAACAGCTCCTCTTCGGATGCAATCTTTGGTGGCTCAGCATTTTGAACGAACCAGGACATCTGAAATTTTGAGATAAATGCGAATTAGATATGGTTTTCAATTACCAAGCACAAAAAATAGAACAATTTTTATATTAAAACGTACTTGTAATTGTTTCTCATTAAAATGACGTCCACGCAGCATTGCCTGCTCCGCATTCAATCGAGTTGCATAGGTCAACTTCAGATACGGTGTCGTTTTGTCAATGTCATTTTTGGTGATTTCACCAAAATGCTGAAAATACAAACGCAAATTTTGTTATAAATTCGGCATTCGTTGACATCGATTGATCAGACTCTTGGTTATTTAATTGTCGTGAATCAATCAATGATGAAATTGATTAAAATAAATGTCAAACATCAATACAAATCATGGTTTTCATTTGAAGTAACCAAACGACTAACCTTAAGATGACCCAAAACAGCATCGCATTCATCTGGACTGAAACCGGCGACTAAAATTGTGGTTGGTCGACGATCAAAGCTGGTCGATCCCGGTGCTGGACGAACCCGTGCATTGTGTTTGGGTGGAAATGTCGGTTGCTTCGGTACGGTTCCCAATGTTTTCTGCAGCTCTTCTAAGCGCTTCTGAATGTCGGTCGTATCATTGCCATCCTGTTGCTGAGCAATCAGCTCGAGTTCAATGTCAAGCAGTTCTTTCTTTTGCAATTCTTTTGATTTACGGAAGGGATGTGGCACTGCGACTGCTGCGGCTACGTTTGGCACTGGTTGAATTTGTGCTGTTATTTGTGCCTGATCGGATGCAATTTCCTTATTCAGTTTATCGATATTATTTTGCAAGCTCTTGATGGTAGCCAATAGGCCGGTACGCTGTGGATCAGTGCTGTCCATTCGCTCGACTAATTCTACGCATGAGCGCATCTGCTTCAAATAGCCCTGCAACAATTCATGTTTTCGCTTGTGCAGGCCATGTGCAAGTTGAACGGCTGCTTTGACCTGTTCTTCCTTCTTCTTTCGAATGGCCTCGGTTGGAGCACGTGTTATTCTACTGTTGCGATTGCGATTGGTTGTTAGGGCCGATGTGGGTGGTATTGTTGTTGGAGTGGTATTCGTTTTCGAAAATGCAGGATTCGATACATTTGAGGCATTATTATTTGTTGTGGTCAGACTAGCCCCGGATTTTGTGAATTCAGTTGAAGCTGGTGTTGGATTCGCCGGAACAGTATTGTTCAAGCTATATTGATTGCCCTTGCGTCCAAAGTTATTCGATGAATTTTCCTCTTTTGTCGGTCCACTGGTGTTTGAGGTGGCATTAGCGTTTGGCGTTGTATTATGATTGCCGTCGATTGTGCCTGCATTCGAGCCGGGCGTATGCCAAAAGACTTTGATGAACCGATTATTTAAAACGGCCTCAGTGCTACGGTATGCAACATTAGCTTCAGCATGCGTTGAAAAGGTAACGATAGCTGCCTCCGGATCGCCTTCATATGAAACTTGGATATTGACAATTTTTCCGAATTTACAAAAATGATTGTTTAAATGGGCGATCGAATTGAGTCCTCGTGGAACTTTACGCAATTCCAGCGAACAATTACTCTGCAAACCGACTCGATTCGGTGGACCTAACCGACTATTGATTGGTTTACGTTTGGTCGGTCCTTCAGCAACAGCAACCGTATCTTCTGGTTCGTAGCGTCGTTTTTGGCTGGTCGCCGAAATATCACCGCCCGAATTGGCCTCGACAACTGGCACCGAAATTAGTTCACGTTGCAATGGCGTCGTTCCCGCATTTGGCGGAAATGGGAACGGTGGTGCCACTCGGTACGCAGCACCAGTGGCTGGCATTCGTTGAAATGCATTCAATGGAGCATTGTTTGGTGGACCCACACGATTTGGACCATTCAAAAAGCTGCCGCTCTGCGTCCAAATTTCGGGTGCATCCGGATTGTACTCAGCCGAACCTCGTATCTGCGGTCCTTGAATCGACATCAATGTTGGATTGTTAATGTCCTCCAAAACGACTGGATTCACTCCATGATCCCATGGGCATGTTTCGCCACGCATGCAATAACCCTTTTCATCAAAATCTCTGCATCGGTCATTTTTCTTGGCTGCCGGTGACAACGAACGTGTACCCTTAAGATCATCACCCTCAACGGGTGAGTCAGAACGTTTATAGTACTTGGGTGATCGTGGTTCATGGCCTGAATTTCTCCGAAATGGATTCGAGCCACCACGATCGTTCGAAGGTGATTTATTTCGATATGAATGCGGTCGTGAGCCATATTTATTATCGCGTTCGCCGCGACGTAATGCACCGCGTGGTGATCTCGATCGGCTTCGTGAACGCGCCGAACGACGTCGTTGCTCTTTCCGATGGTGTTCGTTATCATTTCCATGTTTTGCGGGGCTTATTGGACTCACATCACGCAATTTTGATATTGACGACGAACCGAGCGGCGATGTATTCACGAAATCGATGTCATTATCATTATTAGCTGGATTATGTTCATTTGATAAGCGTGGTGATGTTTTCGTATGCCGATATTCACTAGACGATTTTCCAGCATTTTGCCGCGGTGAATTCACAACACCAGTCAAATCCGTGTCATTAGCCACAGCTGCTGCGGCAGCGACGACGGCCGAAGATGCAGCTAATTGTGTTTCTTGAAACGATTGTATTGGCGCTAAATTTGATGCTACCGCTGACGGGTCGTTGTTTATGGCAGGTTGATTATTTATTCTGAGATACTCTTCGCTGGCAATCATTTCAAATAGACGAACTAAAAATGGCCGCGTTTGAGCACCCAAAAACACATCTAACTGTTCGTTCATGCATTGCTGTAGGTCTTGGAGTGGTTTTTCCTTTTTCAGTAAGGCCAAAACATAACGAGCTAGAGCGGCCGGATCGGCGTCACATCTGAAAAAAAGATGAAAAAATAATTAATTAACTTTAGAATTCGATAAAAAATTATGTTATTTTTGCGAGAGAAATTTTGAAATATGTTTTTTTTTCACGGAGAAAAAAAAAAGAAAATTAAGAATGCGAATGGTAGTGATTGGCCACAATTGAACAGTTTAGTTAAATGTAGAAATAGTGTGTTTGCACATGCAATGCGAACTCGTTTGTGTGCATATTTCGAATGCTAGCAAGCGTTCTTTGAACGCACGATAGACAGGCAACAATGTTCAATAGGCAAACTATTTTACGTGAGTTTGGCCGCTGTCGGTGGGTCGTGTGTTGAGCTTGCGTAGAGCATTTTATTTTTACGATGTAAACGTAACACACGATAAAATTAGAATTTAAAACGAAACAACAACAGCAACAAGCAAAAAATAAACACATACAATACACGACTTTCAATATAAAATTTGAATTGTTGGTATACCAAGTCATGGCGAATGGAAAAGTCTTTGTGATCAATGTTATTAAAGACCAAAACAGAACATTGAGTGACTTTATATGTTGTTGTCGCTTGGTCGAGAGAGACAGAGAGACAGAGAAAATATATATAACTGTCTAAAATTAATACACCGAATAAAATGGAAAGGCCAACAAACGAGCGAATCGTAACCGAAAAGATAGTTAGTTGTTGATCACACACAAAGATTCGAAATGTATTTATATTTTTATATTGCATTGCATTGCACTCAACTGCATATACACGCTCATTCCAACTGCAATGCATCATAATGTGAAAGTGAAAAAGGAATGACACAAATATATTTTATAGCCACATACGAGCATGTATGTATCGTGGGTTTTATACTCAAGTTGGAGTGTATTCATATGTGGTATCGCCGCGGTATTTTAATAAAAAAAAATCGTTCACTTGACTCAAGCGTTTATAATTGTTTGCGTTGAACTCAGTGCCGAACATGATGAGAGCATATTTATAAATGACTGTAATAAGGGTATTCATTAAATGATGTTGATAGAATATTGTACATTATTGCAATGGATACAGAAAAAAACAAACGGACAAGAGGAAAAAAAATCATTTTGTATGAATTTTCAATTCATATCGTAAATGTCGGTCGAATGGAGTAATTAACGCTAATTTATTCACGAAAGACGAACGAAAAAAATACACACACACACACACCGCCGCTCGCGTTCAACGAAAATACGAAAGGGCAACACAAGCAAAAATAGGAGCAGTTTCAAAGATATTTTTCTCAAGGCGACAACCTTTCAGTGAGAATATGTACAAAAAAAAACACGCGTGAAACGCGACCATTACAAATGGCACAATTAAACTTACGAACACAGAGGCATATGTAACACCAAAAAACATTCAAATTAAAATCCACACGCGCACAGCCAGCGAGAGAGATAAAGAAAATATTAAATTCGATGAATGGGAGAAAAAAAAAGTCGTATTCCTTTTCTTCGAAGAACGGATCTTATGCGATATCAGGTTATCACGATTAAAGAACATACTCAATGAGTATTACTCATGTATGTACATTCAATTGAATGAATTTCAATGACACCTTGGATTTTGGAAAGACAGGGAAAGAGGGAAAAGTGGGCACTTGAATAAAGCCAGACTAGTACCAAAACTGGGGATAGAGCAATTAATAGATGAATAATTTATACTTACAATGGGTCTAAGACGACAGTCAGCCACGCTTTTAATTCATCAGGATGATTTATCTGCATTTTTTGTCTATTGAACACACATAAAATCACAAAATAATCTCTTGTCTCTGCTGTTTGTAATTAGGTTGCTTGCTTGCTTGCTTGTTTTTTTTTGCGCAATATTGTAATCTGAACACTTATCGAAGATGTCACGAATTGTTGTCTCTTTGAAAAATCCCTACGAATTGGTTTATTCACTTGGATTTGGTTGTAAAATAAAATCAGTAATTCGATTTTATTGTGCACTTCTTCGTGTTGTTAGAATGTGAATGAAGTCTCTCACTGTTTTTTACACCACACAAGATACGATTTACTATTGCGTACCCCCCAAGGAAAATTCGATCACACTCTCTCAAATTCCAAAGTACAATACTTCTCAATCGTTTCAATCAATAAACAGCACAAAATTCTCTACCAAAATATTTTTCACCTTATTGAATTTCGTATTTTCCGTCGTATGTAGCCTTCAACATCTGTCAAAATGTAAAAAGCAATGCCTTTTCAATATTTTTTTTGTTACACGTTCAGAAAGAAAAAAAAAACTAATTTGTTGTAAAGTTTTTCTATAATTTTTTGTTGTTGTTTTTCATTTGGTTTTATCACAATTCGTAATTGGTTGTTTTTGTTTATCGTTTTTTAAACTATTTTATAGAATAAAATTAATTAATCTAGATTAGGACTGATTTGAAAAAATTTTGAACACCATAAGAAAAGTTATGTATGTTGACTTTCTCTCGTGCGAACTATTTTTCATGAACGAGCGGCCATCTTACTTTTTTAATACGCGCCTTTCAATGTATATGCCCCTGTGCATGTTTGGTCACACGCACACACATACCCTCAGCAATGCTGATGTAATTGCCTTTGAGTAGGGCTGTGTCAAATTTTTGCCGTTTAAATATAGCAAAATAATACGTATTTCTGTGAAATTTCTGAACGTTTTGACAAAAACTGCTTTGATTGAGTGAATTTTTGTTACATTTGTTTCATTTGATTGGAAATGACTGAGAAATATTGACTCAAAAACGAATATTTTTGATGTCCATACTTTTTTATTGAACCAGAAACACACATCCATGAATTTGACGTTTCACTTAATTCAAAAATGAGAAACGTGTTACTCCTTCGACTGTTGCGATGACATTTCAACGCATACAAAACGTTTTCAAACATTTTCACGAAGTGATAAATAGCCATGTCTTGTGAAACCTGCGAGTGATTTCGATTAATTTTTGCGTGAATATTTTGTTTTATTAGATGATTGCGAACATAGTGTGTTGAATTAATTTTGTACAAAGAAAAATTTAAATATAGCACTGGTTCATAAAAATTACGCATCGCTACGGACTAAATCGCAACGAAGCAAACGTACGTTCTCGAAATTGCTGGAAAAGAGAGAAGTGTTTGTTTAACGAACTTCTACGTATTCATATGAAAAATTCAACTGTGTTCAACGGGCTTTGAAACGTTTCCCATGATTTTTCGCTTGAAACTACTTTAAATTGACTAATTTCCAATAACGATATGGCCAATTCCAAGCATTGACATCAATTTTCGATTTTACGAAGAAAAAACAAGGAAGACATAGATTGATACACATCTGATTATTTTGAGTGGCACTGTGCATTTGAGTAGCTCAGCTCCAGTTGTCTTTGCATAATGAGGTTAAACCGATTCACCTTGATTCAAAGACCTTAATACCCACCGAAATTTTCGGTTACCTTTTTATCAATAGAAAAAGTTTACACATCACTTTTAGTATGCCTCAGAAAAAAAATCATTTGGTTTCATCAAAAGTGAATCTGACCATATTATATAACTGTACATTTAGGCAGAAACCAGCCTGTGGTATCTTTATTCCGTTAATTGAATCGAATTTACATCGGAAGCATTAAAATTGTGTGTTTGTCCAGGAAAATCTCTGGTCCTAAGTAAATATTTAGTTATTTTCCAATTTCCGTCCTAGTAATCCAAGTCTTTTTACCAATGATCATTTGGTCACGTACAAGTTCATCGATGTTGGATTTATAATTCATGAGCAACCAAGTCTATCTCTTAGTTGCTGCGTGCGAAAATGATAAAAGGAGAGAAGAACTAGTTTATTATCAAAAATGAAAGTGAGGCGAATATGCATTGTGCATTGGTTTTGGTTTGAGTAGAAAGGGGCACCTGTAGCATTGACTCCGTCACATTATTCATGGTTTGTCGCTCTTCGGGCACACAGACATTTGCACGCATACACACGCCGTTCATCATACGGCGAGTCGATATTATATCATTTTATTTCGCTTGAACATAAAAGCGCAGAAAACCAATGTTATGAGTCTTTGCGTTTTCATAACATCACATAACCGGGCATATGGTGACCGCAAAAAAAAGAGGGAGAAAAAAGCAACATTCATAGTACCACCAATTCATTGAGATCCAGTTGCAAATTGGTAATCGTTTCAAACAGTAGAAGAAATAGCACTTAGTTCAAATAAAATGTACAATAAAATGAATTTGTGTCTAGTGTTGCATGTGATAATTGGAGCTTCAATTGTTATTGCCCGACCAGTCGATGTAAACAATGACGATCGACCGTTGATAAACTACATTTCACCACACGAGTTAGAAGACCTGGTAATTACAAAAAAAGTTTTCGTTCATATGTTGAAATAATCGAATATCACAAAACATACTCGTGTTGAATGGATTTAAATTGCTTTTGGATTCTCGAAATGAATTCTCTAGAAAAACAAAAGAGTGGTGTAATCATGAAAATGTGTTCTGTGTTTTAGCCGATTGTAGAAAAGGAGCGAACAGGAGTTCTGGAAGTAGAAGGCATCCCATCGAAAGGCCTATCGATTTATGACCAAAGTCAACAAAAGTTTGCTCAACTTTTGAATAAAAATGTAAGCATCATAAAAAATGTGAAATAACTGAATTTATGCTCAGAGTGTTTAATAATAAAACATCTGGGTTTTGCTTTATTTGAACAAGCCGAGATAAAACCGTATAATCAATTCAGAAATGACAACATAATCGTATTTAAATTAGTGTGAAATAACTAATTTGATGTGCTAATTTTATTTCTGTTACATATGTTATGGATCGAAATGTAGGCCGAGCCAATCGTTGATACGATTCAAGAGGAGGAGAAGTATGGAAATGATGGTGAGCGTCCCTTTGATCGTGCTATTGTAAATACATTGGAAAAAGTTTCTATTTTCGTTAACAACGCAATTGAGGTAGGAATATTGTATCACTGATTTACCACCAGATTGTACCTTAGTAGATTGCTTTTCCAAAAATATTGCAACTCGCCCTCAGAGTTGCTACAGAATTTTGGGAACTGTTACTTGATGATAATTTTCTGCTTTTTATCCACAGACACCAAAAAATATCGCACGAAGCATTGCGTCGTCAATTACGTCGGTATTAGATCAAGTGGGAGCCAAAATAGTCGGTTTATAAATACTATGCTTCAAGTAGTACATAAGTGATTGTTATTTGTAAATAAATGTGGTTCAATGGATTTGAATTGTTTTTTTTTTAATTCGAAGCGGTTTTTTACCTTATGCGATGCGCAAAACTACTAAAGAGTTGTCTGTTTTTCTTCTTCTTGACTGGAGGCTGGAAAAGTAAAAAGAAAGTTCGAAAAACTTTGAAACACACATAATTCTAAGGTAAAACCTTCTAAAGCCTTCTATTCTCTACTATTGAAACAAGTTCAAAACTGTTTAAAACTCTTCGATTCATCGATTAAATTTTAATTTTTCATTTCTATTTGCACAAGATTTCGTATCATTTTTATCTCTTCTAAATTTAAAAAAGAAATTGCTATTCATATTTGTTTTCAACAAATCTGTTTCGTTAATATAATGAACAGTAACAAAAAACAAAACAAAAGTATCGGAATCATTTGGAGGTGTTGCAGTATTTCAATTTACATTTGTAATATTTTCTTAATAAATCACATTTGCGTTCCTCCGTTAACGTATTCTTATTTGACTTGGATGAATTATTGGATAGATTATTACTATTGGAATCCTGAGGAATGGCTTTTGGCAATGGATTTGCTGATGATGAAGATGATGATGATGATGATGACCAGGCTACAAAGTCGCTAATATTTTGCCAGACTTTATGGTTTAATTTGCTCAACGAACAATGACCACTCTCATTTGGTTTAGCTTTCAGTCGATTCCGCAAATGTATACTAACATTACTCGATCCGCATGAACTGTTACTATTTTCGCCCATTTCTTCTTCAAACTCTTCCGGTTCTGGTAATTTCCGGCGGATTTTCTTTGGATTATCCACATTAAATGAATCGTAATCGTTGGTTTCTTCATCGGCGGATATGTCCATTTGGTCGTTGCTCGGTACGCTGTCAATTCTTTCGTGGTTGGTGTGTGGTTCCTCAATATGCTTGTCATCGTCCATTCGTAGTAGACAATGAATTGCATCACGGCACTCTTGCTCATATTTTGATTGATTGTCGGGACAAACGCTTTTTCGTTGTGTCTTTGTTTCTTCTAGATTTGATTCGTCGCTATTTTCGTCATCACAATGTGTACAACGATTTCTGGAGAATGCATGCAATTGATTCGACGTACTTGCTGACTGTGAAAGGGGTTTTGATGTTCCACCTCCACCGCCACAGCCTGGTGGATTCGATGGTCCCGGTCTATTTTCGTCATCGTCTGGTGGTGGCTTTTTACCTCGCTGGACCTGATCGTCCACACAGTCCATGTATTGATTCGCACACGATGGCTGATAAATGACGGCTGATGCATGTCCCGAACGACCGCATGATAAAAATGCTGATGATGTACTCTCTTCCCATTTGTCTTGTGTTGGATCGTAGAATTCAACGATGCTCAAAAATGAATGGCCATCAAAACCACCCATTGCGTACAGTTTTCCGTCGAGAACAGTTAATGATAAGGCACTTCGAGCAATTTTGATTGGAGCCACTGTGTCCCATACTTGATTTTCCGTATCGTAACGTTCCACACTTGCTAATTGCCTTGTTCCATCAAAGCCTGAAGGGAGGAAAATAACAAGTTCAGTTAAATTTTCTGGCGACGTTTTTGGAAATCAATTTCATTCTTACCTCCAACCACATAAATAAATTGGTTGAGCCTGTAAATATGAAAATATAGCGTTATCAATCGATATACAATTTTTTTCTTCATATAAAATATAATTACGCCGCAACGCCAGCACCGCTTCGACCCGTTTTCATCGGAGGTAAGATGGTCCATGCGTTATTTTCTGGATGATAACATTCAATTGAGGCAAGTCTGAGATTGAAAATGAGAAGAAGATTCAACGAAGTTAGTCAGTTTTCTTAGTTTGTATGCTGAATTTCAAATTCACCTTTCGTTTCCGTCAAATCCGCCGATAGCATAGAGTAGGCGATTGACGACTGCAACTCCCACTCCAAGCCTTTTGGAATGCATCGGTTGAACTAAAGTCCATCGATCTTCGTCAGGATCATAGCTGTGGATTCCATCAATTGATTGATTTTTTAGTTGAAATGGTACAGAATTTATGGTCAAAAGTTGATCACAAAAATTGTGTATTGTTTAAAAACGTTCAATCCGACATAAACTTACTATTCGACTGAGTTGTGATATTCCGAGCCGGCCGATCCACCGACCGCGTACAATAGTTCATCCATCACCGCAACACCGACTCGATTACGTGGCACAGACATCGGTGAGCACGGGCGCCATTGCTCACTTACTAAATTGTACTGAAATGAATTGTTTTTTTACAAATTAAAATTCACATGAAAATAAAATTGGATTTGCAAATACCTTATCCACCCAGTCTGAATCGTATGAAGCACCAGGTGAGTTGTTTCGACCACCCACAGCATAGAAAGTGCCTTTCAAAAATGCTGCACCCAATCCACTTCGTGGCACACGAAGACGGGGCAGCGTAGTCCATGTCTTATCATCAATATTGAACCCTTCTAACACATCCAACGAATGACGAAAATATCCGCCCGCAACAAATATCATTCGAGTTGTGTTTGGTGTTCGTTCACGTACGATTGTCCTCTTGTGTAGTGTTAAATCTTTGAATATTCGAGCCAAATATTCACGACAGGCTGGCACTTTTTTCAATACATCACAATTTCGCATTTGCTCTTTGAGGAAATTCGGTGTCAAAAACTGACAACGAACCGCATACAAAATGTGTTCCATTTTTGGATATCGCGTATCCTCGTCATATTTCACCCATTTCAGCACAGCATTGTACACTTCGCGTTCTTCTTGTACATTTAGCTCGTCCTTTCGAATCAATTGGACCAATTGTATTGCGGATAATTGCAGAAATTCTTCTTCTTGCGAAATCTGGAGGAAAAGCGGGAAAAATCGATATTTAAAGACATTTTTTTCGTTTATATGAAATGATTCGAAAACTTACTTGGGTGAAGTGTCGTTCAATAAACTGATTGGCACGTTGCTTAAGTGTTGTGCATCCATGCTGTTCGGCAAAGTTGGCGATTCCAATGGCATTTGTTGGATCCAATTGGCGCTCGAGAAATGCGCAGCATGCATCAATTACATTTGACACCTGAAACATTGTTGCGGCCGGCAACAATGTACAGACCGTCAATTCAGTGACGCGAATGTGACCGGAATACATGAAATACAGTATTCGACCCATCGCTGTTGGACAAACCTAAAAACAAACCGCTTTTTTTCAAATAACTCATGACAAATTAATCAATGGTCATACTAACGCCTTGTAGTTTAATGCGAGACATTTCCGATTCCTTTAATCCACCGGTGAACATTGCTTTGAAATATGGCGAGGCGGCGGACAAAACAACCTTGTGTGCATGAAACAGTTCTTGCTGTACTTCGATAATGACATCGGTGAGCATGTGATGTGATCGCATCATGAACATCATTTTCATGGTTTCCCGAGCATAATTGCTCATACAAAATGACATATCACCTTGGTCCTCTTTATCGCCTTCCGATGAGCCGAACGCTCCATTGTTGTTGTCGGCGAAATCAGGAAATTCGTCTGGCCGAGCATTACTGTTGCACTGAAACATTTGAAATAAACCGCAAAAACATTTAAATTAGTTACCATATATAAACGTGAGGCTTTCGATAGGGACAACACGGCTTGTCACATTCACTTTTGACAGTTCCATGTGTTTTATATACCGAAAGTGCAAAGTATCAACATTCAAGTCTAGTGACGGTGTTGTTAATAGAATTTTGTATTTCATAATAAGGAAGAGAACCGTTTGATTTGGAATGGCTGGTCGAGGCGGTTTCAAAGGCGCTTCGTCGTCACTTCGACCAGAACAACTACAAGGAATGGGCATTGTGGGAAAGGACATGCCAAGTGCTACAGTCGCTCCACCGCCAACATTTCCACAACTTCTATCCAGGTGAATGAGATGTTTTGTGACAATCAACATCGAAATGAATACTTTTCAAAGACGTATTTTATGTGCAAATTCAATGAAGAATTAACAGTCGACTTTTGTTCTCCATTTCAGACCCGCCTTACTTGAAGTATGCTCATTCAATTGATCTAAATTACCTCTGTTTTGGATAAACATTTCGATTGTTTTGCAGAAAAATTCCGAACGTGATTTTATGATCGATTGGAAAGAGAATTTCTTGTCATACTTGAAAAATTCACCATATTATACGGGCTCAACCGAAGAAAGTAAACATATTCATTCCAGATATTTTCTTGAGAGTTCGGTATGGAAATAAGTGATGTTTTAAACCATTTTGATTCATTCATTCTATCTAAAATTCTCAACAGCAAGTAGAAAATGGTGCCTTTAACTGGTCAATGATGCCAGCTGAATTGAGACCAAACTGGAAACGAAAACTAAACACGAAAGACGGCTCAAAGAAATTGGCGAAAGATGTAAATGTTGAAGAGACGTTGAAAGCTTTGGAACAAAAGGAGAAAACCAGAAAGGCTAATGGTGCACCAAATGATGATGATGATAAAGAGGATGATGTATGTTTGGTTTTTGAATGTATTTTTATGCGCAGGAATATTCAATTCTCTATTTCCTTCATTGATCACAAACTATTTTGATAACTTCACAGGAGGCGATTGAAGATGAGGAACAAGATGAAGAGATGGACGATGAAAATGATTATGGCAACAATTATTTCGATGACGGTGGCAATTATTTAGACGAAGACGATAATTTAGATGACGGACCAACGTATTAGCATTTTATTTATCTTGTTTTGCAATAAAATAAAATTTTCTTTCAAATTCATTGCTTCGTTCATTTGAACATTCAATCGAAATCCTTCGATACACATGAAGTTGACTGTTGATGAATCGAAATGTCAACACGAGCGTCGCTAGTGGTAGTTTTTATGTGTCAATACTGATTGCTCATAAATGTTTTCACTCACATCTGATTGACATCGGCAAAAAAAATAGAATTCCGTCTTTAGGGGAAAAAAACACAAATAAATTCAATTAAACATCACATTTGAACATTTGTTGTAATTGTTTGTTGGAAAAAATCAAAAGTTCTGTCAATTGTTCGCGATTGTGATACGTGACAATAACAAAAAATTAGATCAAACTGGATTCGTTCAACAAAACTCTCGGCAAAATACCAGAAGATTCCACAATGGAAGTTGATCAATTTGACGCAACATCGATGGATATATCATCGGTCGATTTTCATCAAACAACCGACGATAATTTATCCGTACACCAAAGGTAAGATTTGAAGCCGCTGGAGAAGATAAAACGGCGAATTTTTATGTATTTCATCACTACCGTCTGAAAAGAATGTGTAGGCAAATTTTGCGGTTGTGATTTGTTTTTTTTTTGTGTGGGCTAACATTTTGTTGACTCAGCGCGTTGAAGAAGCATTCATAAGACCAATCCATATATGTAGAAATCCATTATGCTGATCATCGGCGAATTTCGACCGATGTTGCCGACCACCCAACTTAATTATTTATTCCATTTTCTTTCTAATAGATTTATAAATGCTTTGGATCATTTGGACAATCGTGTCGAAAAATTGCGCAAAGAATCGATGACATTGACTGAAAAACGCGATGTGCTGCTCATGTCAATGGATATACTGAAACACAACGAACTGTTGAGCGGCCTGAAAGAGAGTATGTAGCAAAATGTTTTTTTTTAAATTTCTTCAATTTTCTTTACTTTTCCTTCCCTTCTGTCTACTTTTCTTTTCGATTATTTTGTAATACTCAGAATCGAACTTAATTTCGTAATGCCATTTTCAAATCCATTCGCAGACGAATTAGACGAGGTGAACTGTTATGCACAGCGAATCAGCAATCGTTTGGCAACCATTGACATCAGCGTGAAAACAGTGCGTGATGCTGCCCAAGAAGATGCCTTACATCAAGTCAACAGTTTGATTGATTCGTTGTTGACTATTAGCGATCGTGTGATGGCACGTCAACGGTGTCAAACATTTTTGAACGCATGCAGTGTACACGATGATCCTGCCAATGCATTGGAGCTCGATCCGGTTGTGGACAAAAAGTTCGAAGCCGCTGTGTTGGGCTGTACTTTAGACGACCAGAAAACGATTAAAAAACGTTTGCAAGCTCTCATGTCTTATTTGAATAAGCAAACTGTATCAACCGAGTAGAGAGTAGAGTAGACAAAAAACCAGCAACTTTTATGTGTCATATGGATAATTTTGTGAGCCCAGTTTGTTAAACAAACCATACAAAGGAAATCAATCACAGCATTCTTTCATATACATTTTTAAATGTTGTGTTCAGTACTAACCCTGCAATTAGCATATATACTCTCATTCAATGACTTATTTTGTTGAAGAAAAAAAAATAGAGAAAAACGATTGCAATTATAGGCGGTTAGAATCAATTGAGAGCGAAAAAAAGAGTAATTGACTAAACACATTTAACTAGCTTTATTACATCACTTTATGTACATTCGTAACTCGTTTCTTTGTTAATTAACCAATTTTTCCACTTGCTTTTTAAGATATATTTTTCTTCTCTATATACCCTTGTGATGAAATATTGAGTTGCTGGTAAAGCAATATATACTATTTATGATTCTCTGTGAAACCAATACGTTTCTTATTCCAGAAGTAAACACATCTTTCCATTACTCATGTTAATGATAGAAGACAACATCACAAATAAGTGAAAGTGATTTGTTAAGTGAACGAAAAGGAAAATAATAATAAAAAAACAACACAAATACACATTTGATTACCTCTATCAGTTTGATAAAGAGACTAATTTTACAAGTAAATATACAATTTGCAAAGACCAATCGTGTGTTTTATTTCTTCGTTTTCATTTCAAGTCAAACAATATGTATGCCATAAGTGTGTACAAAATGGTTTAATGATTTCAGGAGAAATGTAGTTGCGATATAAACATTTCTACAAAACACTCATCAACGAGCTAGCCGATAAGTGGCGATAAGAAGTGTATACTCTTTCTTCTATTTGTTCCACGATAGATGCGTGAAAAGAGATTAAATTGGGATTTTTGAAACCTTTTGTCCTGCGTTCACGTGTGCTTTTTTTAGTATTTAAAAATGAACTTTTGTTGTACGATATCGTATGAATTTTCTTTGGGTGTAAAATGACACTATGGTCTCCACATGTTTTTCTTACCTCCCATCGGAGCTTATCGAACAAGGTTGAATGTGTGGTACATTATGTATAATACGTAATTTAATTAGCTGAGTGTCTTAGATTGCAAACCGTTTGCTCAATAAAATAGAATCAAGTTTTTTTCTGCTTAGTCACCGTGAGATTCACTTACTGCGTAACCATCACCGAGGCGACAACACAAATGTAAATAGCGATTACGACAATTAATAATATCGCTTTCAATTCATTCAATTGGCTTACAATCCAAGTTCACTCGTTTGCAATCACCATTGGCTATTGTGTGACGTTGTGCTACAAACACTTTCGTGATCACCATATTGTTTCCGTATTTAAGTCGCAGTCGTTAAACGATGCGAGACTGTGGTTGAGTATTTGCGATAAGAAAATAAACACGCACACACACAGTCGCTACGCCGAGCGGAGGAACGTGTAGCGAAAATGAATAATGGTTTATCAGCTGTTCGAGACATTCTGAGAACCAGCCGATTTTACGTTCAAATGGAAATACATTCGCGTATACATGCTAGCAATAATAGCATAAGCTAATTCGTTTAGATAAAAGCCGCTGCTAAATTCTTTTATTTATTCAAATAAAGGGGATTTTTCATCGTGGTGATAAGGCTTGCACCCCGAAAACAAAAACGCTCAATCATTCATGCCTTTTGATGACAGATACGAAAAATTGATTGATCCACACTTCACACTTATCGCAAATATGTTAATTTCTGTTTTTTTTTTAAAACAAAATTCATTTTGAAGGTTGATAAAAAAAAATTCTACCATATTGGTATTATTGCAGCAATAAAATCCAATGACTCCGCACTTGTTTATCGACCATAATCTCTTTGAGAGTGACATAGAGAGGGAGACCAAACTATGATATGCAGTCAATTGTTTTGGTTTCTATTTATTTTTCCGACATTTGGTATTTTATCTAGCCGTTTTTCTTGAATTTATGCAATTCGGATTTTTTTTTTGCCATCTCATTGGAAAACGTACATAAATCTATCAGCAAATTAGAAAAAACTGAGAACATGTTTAACGCAACACAGAAACAAAAGTGAATAAATTATTCACAGAAAAAAAAACGAAATGAAAGTTGAGTTGCTTCAAAGGAGGTTTTTATTTATGAGACATGTTCTATAGAATCATTCAATATCTATTGGGATATGAAAATGAGAACATTCTTTGATTCTATGATTTGAATGATCTTCCATCTATTTCCAAAAAAAAACCATTCACACTTTTGTAAAATCGATGTAACTGACCTATGTCAATTGAAAATTCAATAGAAAATTCAGCACATGGAATGAATTTGACGGCAATCCCTTTTAACTGTTCTGATAATAATGTATTTGCTTCTCTATGATCATTGATCATATAATAAGCACAAATGGTTTTAAAAATACCGTTGAACACTAACTTGTCTTTTGTATTTGTGTTTGTGTTTGACTTTTTTCTATAGTGACTAAACACCGACTGTGTATCAATGCCGCACGTAGAACGACTTAGATTCCAAAGAGCAAACGGAATAACAACAACAACATCAAACAAATGAGCGCGACACACGCGAAACTTACCAACACATGGTGACTTTGCAATTCATTCATTTTTCAGTGCTTTGCTGCGGGATAAAGTCATTCACATTGAAACTAGCACTATGTCTTCTCTTTGTCGATGATGGCGATGATTGACGCACTTTGTGGGATTCTTGTTTCTTATTCGCACAAATTTTACATACACAATCACCAGTCTTTTATCGATGAATCGAACATTTTATGATCATACGTTGTCGCTTACAATCTTTTCACGTAACACACAAATAAAGTAAATAAAGATGTATCTCGTTGGAGGTACTCTTTTCGCGCGTTTACAATTCACGTTAATATGGATACATATTTTTATTATAAATTCCACAAAACTTATTCGAATGTGTCTATCACTACATTTAGCCGTCCGTATCCATTCACTCGCATGGAGTAATTTTGTTGGTTTTTAACAAAGTTGTTACGATTTTTTCCGTCTTTGCACTGTCCAAAACGGGAACAAAGTCACTTGTACTCCATGTTTGACACAAAAATACACATGTAATCGTTGGAAAATATCTACCGAAAATAACACAGCGTTATGCGAACTGGTCTATTTTCGTTTCTATTGTTTTCCGGATCGAAAGCAACGTTTGAATGAATCTCTCGATGAATGTGTCAAATGGAAATGACAAATTTGTAATTTCCCTTCTCTTACTCGTTTCTTTATGCAATACAGAGTCGCGCTAGTCGTCACAGTCTAATCAAATCAGTCACAACAATAACAAAAAACACACACGCACACACACACCGAACACCACAATGTACTCAATCGATCTACCTGTATGAAATTGAAATAACTAACCAGAAATTGTGATTCGTACAATCATACTACATTTAAGTCATACAAGCTTTTGACAATTTCACATTGAATCTGTGTGTATTTTTTGCCGTTCTGTTTCACTTTTTGACAGATGGGTTTTGATAAGTTTTGTGGAGACCCAATCGACAACCAACTTCACGGTAATCGAGCATATGTTAATCACATGTATACATTTGGATGTGTTTGTATGTTTTTGAACTTAACACGTATTTGTGTACGGTGAAATGATAAACAAATAACTATGCTACGATATGAGCACAGATAGCAGTAATTTGATGCAAATTTGGGATGGCGGTCATAACGACCGACGGACAGTATGCTTCTGTGTTTTCTATCACATTAGAGTATGCTGTCCGTCCGGGGCATTAGGGCCGCTACTCCAAATTTGAAATGTAAAAGTGATTGCGAAGAATTCGAAGACATGAGAATAACGGTTTATTTCATTGGTGCAGAGATTTTTAATCACAAGCGGAATTTTCGATTTTCATTCCTAAGTTCGAACCATTTTTTTGCCGCATTAAATTAAAACAATTTCTTCATATCGCTTTCATTTTTATCTTTTTTGCCATTTTAATTTGTGTATGGTCAAAATGTCGCTTAATAATGTGATCAAAATCTCCTCGGTTATGGTTACATCAGCTGATTCAAATACATTTTTTTTAATCGAAAATAATCGTTTGGTTGAATCTTTGATTGGATGTGCCAAATGGGAATAACAAATGCAATTAACTCGTTTATCGTCGGGGTTCAATGAAATGAACCATGTGAATAACAAAATGCACACAATCCCAAGGCTTTCAAACACTCTTCCTGCATGAAATTACCTAACGACAAATACTGACTCGTACACATAGCACATAAGTCGCATGGACGAGCTTTTGTCAATAAAATTGAAATAAGCTCATGCTGTAGCTGCTTTTATGTTTATGGATTTATTAAAGTGCGTAGAATTTAGCGCATTTTTCGAAACTTTTTCATTGACTTTAAATGGAAAACACTAAAAAAGACTCACTTTATCGATAAGACACGGTGAAGACAGTTTTTAATATAAAAAAATTATCATTTATTTTAAAACTGATTTCATCTAAGCAGCAAAACGTGCTATCAGTTCTATTACCATATAGCCATGAATGACAAGTCAATGCGTGTTGATGTATTCGCTATTTTTGTCCCCGTTCACATTTTATTGGTTTATTATGCAGAATGTGTGGCAAATTTTCAGTATAGTTGCAGTCTACAGTGAAATCGTGGCACATTTGATGCATCGGTATATAAATCGGTATTTTACCCAAGAATATGTGCTCTGTTTAGAAGAAATTCAAATGTAAATTGTTCAGTTAAATAAACGAAGGAATGGAAAAGCGACGACTGTTTATTGGTTTCATATTGATTTGTGGAATTCTCATTTATGCATCAGCCGACGATGATCCTGAGGATCAACCGGAAGGTGAACCAGAAGAACCTGAGCCGACGGTTATAAAGATTGGTGAGCGAAATTATTTCGCAATAAAAATGAAAAAAAAATCATTATGCAAGAAAATTATACTAATAATGTAACATTTCTGCATGAAAACGTCGGATAATATTGCTAAATTTGAATGGCATTTTCGCTGAAAAAAATGTTACATTGCATGTTACAGTGCCTTCGAATGGAATTTTGTGCAATTTATGTCTGATCCATAACTAGGTGAATCATTCAAGTCTCAAAAATTATAAGCTCATTTAAATAAATAAAATTTTCTGCAGCAGATGAACTGAAAACGCATTCATTACAAGTGCAGCGCGGCTATTTATAGGCTAACGTACGATTGTAGGAAACTAATTCGCTAGCAAAATTGCTATTTTTATCCCAAACATGAGAGCAGTGACCACTTGAACGTCAAATCGTTGTCCGACATGCGCCAATTCGGAGATTGTGAATTGATTTGAGGTAGCAAACAAAATTTTGTTTGTATACATAGCTACAAACTGCTCTTCTTTGTAATATTGACCCACGTGTTGTGGCGCGATACGCGAAAGTCATAAACTAGCAGCCTCCCATTAGCTTTAAAATATGTTTATTTGAATGATTCGTTTATTTGATTTTCCGAGTTTCTCTCAATTAAACACGCTTTGAGTTTAATTTTAATGCGAATCGTGTTCCGTTCAAATGAAATGTTTATTTATTTCGAATTGTATTATTAAGTATAAGCGAGAACATTAAGATTGATGCGATGAATGCCAAATGAAAACAGTTTTTCCCAATTATTAGGTGCATTATTTGATGTGAATGTGGATGAAAACAAACAAATATTCGAATATGCCATTGAACAAGTGAATGAAAAGCTGTTAAAGGATGAAGAATTCAAATTGGAAGGTGAAGTAGCTGAAATTGTGTACGGAAATGAGATCACTATATCTCAAGGTCTTTGTGGATTGTTGGAGGTAATGTAATTTTTGTGTTCAATAAAAAGGGTTTTTTATTTTAAAAAAAATGTTTTCAATAGAAAGCACGAAACTATCACCACTTCTTATCTTTTTCCATGCATTCTTTTGCTTAGAAAGGAGTAGCGGGAATTTTCGGTCCAGATGATGAATCATCTGCGGTTCATGCAGCCAACATATGTGATACTAAAGAAATCCCGTACATCGATAGACGTTGGGATATTTTATCAGCGATTCCAATTGTAAACATGTACCCGGATCCAGAATCAATTGCTCAGATGGTAACGGATTTGGTGATAGCGGCTGAATGGGGAAGCTTCACCATTTTGTATGAAAATCCCGAGTGGCTACCACGATTGTCGAAATTGCTTGAACTCTATGATCCGAAGGGAGATACCATCACAGTTAAACGGATTGATGTTGGACTACCCACCAAAAACTATCGTTCAGTTCTAAGAGAGGTGAAGCTATCGAGTGATGTTTGCATTGTTGTTGAATGTTCCATTGAAAACTTGGGCGAAATATTGAAGCAAGTAAATAAATTCGTCCGTAGATTAAATTAAAAGCGTCTAATAACAACGATTTTGTCGTTAGGCACAACAAATCGGCCTTATGGTCGATAAGTATCATTTTATCATCACGAATTTGGATGCACATACAATCGATCTGGAACCTTTTCAATACAGTGGGGCAAATATAACCATTCTTCGGATGATCGATACATCAAGTGCACCTGTGGCGGAATATGCGGAGTATTTAACGAAAAAAGCGAAAGAAGAAGAGGAGAAGCCGACTGAAGATGGTCAACCGAAGGAAGAGAATCCCGATGGTCCACCACCTTATTATGGTGGATGTCGATCTTGTGATCCCGACAGTGGTGATGGTGATGAAAAAAACGAAGAAGAGTCGAGTGAACTGCCAGAGAACGCAGAAGAAGCTAAAGAAGGAGAAGAAGAAGAAGAAGGTTCGATGAGATTTTAAAAAGTGGCAGAATTAGTTCAGATTCCTTGTTGTTTTCGTTTACAGGATTCAACGTTGATTCAGTTCGCTTGCAAACCGCTTTGATATACGATGGGGTTTTTCTTTTGGCCGAAACATTGAAACAACTTGGAGTTGAACAAATTCAAACGACAAATATCTATTGCATGGGCAATGAATCAACGTGGGAAAAGGGAATGAGCGTCTCGAATTTTATGCGAAATGTATCATTTAGTTAAGATTATTCTAACTCTAAAAAACATTTGATCAATGAATGCGCATGACTTTTTTCAGACCTTTATCGATGGAATGACAAAAAGTGTGAAATTCGATGAGAATGGCCACCGTTCTGAGATTGAAATTCAAATATTTGAATTGAGTTCTCAGGGTAGCACATTGTTAGGGACATGGGATCCAGAAGATGGCATAAAACAGATATTGAGCATTAGCCCAATTCCAGTCGAGGGAGACCCAGCTGCAATGTCCCTACGGAATCGAACATTTATAGTACTCACAGCATTGGTAAATACTCAACTTTTCCCTTCAAAAACTTTCTCGTTACGTTCCCTTCTTTTTCTCATTTCATTTCTGACTTGCAAGACGGATCCGTATGGCATGTTAAGAGACTCGTCGCTGCAGCTCACTGGAAATGATCGATACGAAGGCTTTGGCATTGACATAATCCATGAACTTTCTCTGATGCTTGGCTTTAAATACGAATTTCGATTGCAAGAGGACAAAGACTACGGTTCGATAAACAAAGTAACGAAGGAATGGACCGGCATGATACGGGCATTGCGAGATGGCGTATGATTTTTAATGGAATTTCCTCCCAATTTATATATATTCTTAACCGTTTATGTATTTTGCATGTACAGGATGCTCACTTGGCCATAACAGACTTGACGATTACCTCACAACGCGAAAGCGGTTGTGATTTCACGGTAAACTAAATTCAATCGAAAAGTTTCAAATGAAAGATTTTTTTAAAAAATCCGTTCTTTTTTTCTAATTCCAGATGCCATTTATGAATTTAGGTAGCAAAAATTGTAATATAGTTCTAATTTGTTCTACAAAGTTACTTTCCATTTCCCAGGAATATCACTTTTATACCTAAAACCGACAAAAGAACCGCCGTCAACATTTTCATTCATGTCGCCATTTTCACAGTCGGTTTGGATCAGTCTTGGTGCTGCTTATTTCACTGTATCGCTATGTCTTTTTGTTTTGGGCCGGTTATCACCCTCTGAATGGGACAATCCGTATCCGTGCATCGAAGAGCCAACACAACTGGAAAATCAATTCACATTCGCTAATTCCATGTGGTTTTGTATCGGAGCATTACTGCAACAAGGTTCTGAAATCGCACCAAAGTAATTTTCCGTTCTATATGCAGAAATTTAAACTTTTTCTTTTTAAAGAAACTTTTTCATTTTTATTTTTTGTTAGAGCACCGGCCACTCGAATCACAGCTTCAATATGGTGGTTTTTTACGCTCATCATGGTGAGCTCATACACTGCCAATTTGGCCGCCTTTCTTACCATTGAAACACCGTTTGAGAAAATCAAGAGCGTTGAAGATTTGAAAAATTGTGGTAACACACAAACATATACAATCAGTTTAACAATAATTTAATTGCATATTTAATTTTACGGTCTAGGAAATTCCGATGAAGAATGCCCGGTTAAATTTGGAGCGAAGGCGGGTGGTGCTACGTTTAACTTTTTCAGAGACTCTGATCATCCAACGTATCGCAGCATGTATCGATACATGGAACGGCATCCAGAATTACTGATGGACAATGCAGCAGGCGTTAAAATGGCCAGCGATAAGGAACAGGATTATGCGTTTTTAATGGAGTCTTCATCGATTGAATATGTCATCGAGAGAAACTGTGATGTGACCCAAATCGGTGGCCTATTGGATGATAAAGGCTATGGAATTGCGATGAAAAAAAGTAAAACCACAGCAAATATGTTGGACGATGCAAATAATGCCAAACTGTTTTCAGATTCGGAATATCGGAATGCGTTGAGCGAAGGAATTTTACGGATGCAGGAATCCGGCAAGCTGGCGACATTGAAAATTAAATGGTGGAAAGAGAAGAAAGGCGGTGGTGCTTGTTCGGTAACTTTTCTTTTAAAATCGAAACAACAATTTGAATTCACAGGCAAACTAAATCAAATATTTTCACTAGGAAGAAGGTTTTTTTTTCCTTTTTTTGCACATGAAATGTTTAAAATCCAAGTTTAGTACATGTGATATACAAATTTAATTCTTCTTATTACTCGAAATCGCATCACACAAGAGCAAATCAGAGGAGGGTGCCGTTCCATTGGAATTGGCCAACGTTATAGGAGTGTTCTATGTTTTAAGCTGTGGCTCCACAGCGGCAATGTTCTTTGCATTTATTGCTGTCGTTCTTGAAACATGGCGTATTTGTAGAGAGAACAAGGTTTGTTCATTCGAATGCGACCATAACATTTGGAAATGACATTTTCCTTGATTGAGTTGAATATTTTTTCCAATGATCCAATACAACTTAATACAATTTCTCCCACTACATTTTGAGATTTTGAACCAGCAATTTGATTTCTGCATTGTTCCACCCGATTTGCCATTAGGTTTTAGTCGTTAAAATGGTCCATGGATATGAAACGAAAACAATTTTGAATAACTTAAGCCATACTTTGCATGCTATCAGAACATACATAATTTTCTTCTTCCCCCTTAATCAATCACCATGCATTCATTCAATCATCAGGAAGATAAAAAAAGTGATGCACAGTCGTTGGACATAGAAAATGTGAATGGGGTGTTTATAGTGGTTTTCGTTGGTTGTGGATTTGCAATCATTGGTGGCTACATAGAGCTCTGTGTTCTTTGTTATAAGAATGCCAAAAAGGCAAAGGTACTTACTTACTTCCATGTTATATCGAAACCATAAATTAACTATTTGACTTTTTCTCCACATTTTGTGTGAATTTCAATCCATTTTAAATGCTTTTAATTTGATCTCCTACTAATTTCCTAAGTACTTCGAACCGAATACTAATCAGCTTGTGTGAATCTTACAGGTTCCATTCAAAGATGAATTCATTGCTGAGATGAAGTTCATTTTGAAATTTGAAGGAAACACAAAAGAAGTGCGTCACCGTAAAAGTATATCGATCAATTCACAGCATTCGATCACGTCTTCGTCGAATGAGTCTGGAATTGAACACACGGGCTGCTCAGAGAAGTCTGTCCGTGGAAAATGAAAGGCAACGTATTGTCATTAATTCTAGACACTCAGTATTTACAATGAAACATATGTCAAGATGAGACCTAGGTCATTGCCAGAATAAATAGCAAAAAAATTATTAATTACCACTTGAAACCTGTGCCGTCAATTTTTTTCTTCTATCGTGCCAAAATTCTGTGAAGTTATCTGTCTAAATGAGAAGACGTATGTATCCAAGGGTAAATCACTCAAAAGTAATACAACGCTGCTGAAAAAGTAATACAACGTGAAAAAAAGTAATACAACTTTTTAGTGAATTGCCCCTTGTATGTATCACATGTATAAAAAATTTCTTTCGTAAAATAGGATGCAAAACTACGAAAGAACTTCGTCTCGTACGTTTATTTTCCAACATTTTTTTAGAATATACGGAGCCTTTGTAAAATGTCCAAAAATCTTGTGAAATTTCGTCAAATTTGAGAAATATTTCGAAGTTTTGCTTCCCATTTGACGGAAAAAACATCGTTTACATTCGAATGTATTATTATATGTATGGACAAGATAATGATTTGACTTTTTTCATTAATTACGTATCTATTTCGACCATTCAATTGGCAAAGTTACATAAGACATCGATTAGGAAAACATATAAATGTAGAAAAGTTTGTAAATTGGTTTCTAGTTTTAAATACGTAGTCGATGGGGAACATCGAAGTACAAGCAGATGAATTTTTGTTGGTTTATTTTTTAGCTCATTTGTATGTTTATGACTCGATAAAAGTTCTTGATAATTGAAAATGACAAATCTAACTGAAGTTAAAATGATTAAATTCACACTAACACTTTTTATTGTAGCCGCATTTTTGATTGCGGACTGTTACTCAGATCCAGTGGTACGTATAAGGTTTTTTCAAAATGAAGAATGTCTCAGAACATGGAAGCAATAAAAATTGAAGGAAAAAAAACGAAAAGAGTAAAAAAATGTTTGAATAACTTTTGATGAATTCTTAAAGATGAATATGTTTCGCCAAAAGAACTACCAGGCTGAAAAACATGCTGTAAAAGCTAAAGATGGTTATATATTGACTATGCATCGAATTCCAAATCCAAATCGTCCACCCATCCTTCTAGTGCATGGTGAGTGTTAGAATGAAAAATACCGATGTAAAATGTGAATTAAATAAACTGCAATAACAATCCAAAAGGCCTTGCGGACAGTGCAAAGGGATATTTACGACATCGCTCTAAATCATCAACGGCATTGGAACTTTTCGAACTTGGTTATGACATTTGGATGGTAAATGCTAGAGCCAATATATACTCACGGCAACATATCCACTTGAATGCAAGCGATCCACAGGTGTAAGTTAATTTATCGGTGAAGAATTTTCCTAGATACCTCATTTTAAACGATCAAATTTTTGAGAAGAATTATAATTTTACAGGAATGGCTTCAATTGGGCGGTTTAAATAATTTAGTACCACATTCGTTAGCCAGTTCGATTCAATTGATCGCTCCC